CCCGTTCAAAACCAGGATATATGAGCAATAACCCGGTCACGAACAGCCATGTAAACACCGGCAAAAACCAAAATATGCTCATATCCCGGATTTAAAAAACCGGGATATTATACATGGGGTAACCCTTTTCTAACCCGAATTTTTGGTCATGTAAATGCGTATCGGCATATCCCCATAGTGATTTGTGTTCTGCACATGTTCCATTTGCAAGGAATCCTGGTCTTTTGAGTAGAGAAACTTATCGGTGCATACAAAAATCCGCATGCAGTATACCGGAAGTAAACATGGCGAGACACAGCACAGCATACTTTTGGAGCAAGGTCAGTAACGTTACCAGCATCAAATCGCAAACAAAGGCGATCACTATCTTCCCCAAATGATTCATTATCTGTGTGATGCTGTTGTTGTTGTCTTTGGATACAGGAAGAAGAATCAGAAATGACCCATATTGCATCATAAGGTTGTCCATACATCTAGATGCTAACCTTGCGTCGCCGTTTATATCGAGATATTGCAATTCCGTGTATACAGGAGAAACTCTCTGCTCACTTATGTAAACGGGTTATTCCTAATGTTTCAGAAACCCAAATAGTGACCTTAACCCGACCATAACCTGAAAATTGGCTGCATGTAAACGTAGTCATTGTCAGATTATTCGATGTTAAACTCATGTGTTACGCCCACTCTCGTCATCCTTGTCCTGTCCTGGTTTGTGCTGAAGCTCTATAACCTGCAAGTATTACTCTATTGCTCTGTTATCTGCTCTCTGAATTCTGCCCTGTTATCTGGACGTTGAGATCCTCTGCCTCGCCATAGACCTTCAACCGGCTCCCACTCTCTTCATGGGAGGCTCGAGGGTTCTCTAAGGGGGCTTTTACACTGGGCTGGTTTGCTGCGGTCCGAGCCAGAGCGCGTTTGTTCCCGGCGCCCCCCGCAGCGTTGGTCTGGTTTCACACTCAACTTGATTCTATCGAACGCTGGTGCGTTTGCATGCATCTTACGTCATCGCAAACGTACACGGCGCATGATATAAAGCAGAACGTGGGTAAATATTGTGGGTTTTTTGTATTAATTTGCTGTTATGCGCAGTTGAGTAACAATACAGATTCACTGTGCATGTGTCACATAAGGTGGACTTCTGCTGCTTGCAAACAGACTCTTTTGAGGAGACAGTGGATTTCCAAATGTGTTGCTTTGATTCCACGCGCAATGCACGAATACACCGATCGGAAGCAACCAAACTCAGACCACCTCCTCCAGGTAGTCTCGGGTTCGGTGCCCCAGTGCGCACCCGGGTCCCATGAAAGCGTTCACATTAGCGATTTTTCATGTGAACCGTGCCCCATTCCGAACTAAACTGCCAGTGTGAAAGCCCCTTGAATTAGCAGTCACCGACCGCATCCGCGCTGTTCGCTGTCCAGAAGAGGGGATTTCTGTTCTTGTTAAGAGCCGTGTGGCCGTTCCTGATTTCTCAGACTGTTGCTAAAGACTGTTGATTGCCACATCTCACTTTTGGGTTTTCTCTCTACCTCTTATTATAGTAGGCTAAGACTTAATCATTTTAAATGTATTTGCATGATATATAATTTCATGTTTTAGTTTTAACAAATGCCAGCACTGGCTTTATCGCCACTTAGTTATGCTATTTCATGTCTATGACAAACGCATACAAACATTCTGGACCTGAATTTGTATATGTACTAATTTTGAAAATGTATTTTTCATGTATATATACTTTATGACGTTATTTTTTGATTTGATCAAGAACGTAAACCATATGCCAACGCTGTTTGTTTATATAGTGGCCAGTTAGACCTATGCTATTTTGTGTACGACAAACGTGTATAAAGTTAAAAAAAAATATAGGCAAATTACCATTCAGAAACGTTTAGTAAGAGCCATGTTTGGGGGGGTTCTGCTTGACTCTCTTCATCGCTGCTTTTTCGGTCTGATTCTGGCTCATACTGATACTGCAGTGTCGACACCATTATTTACATTGGCCGCAGAACATGAGACATTCACCCGTAAAGGTAATGGGCGTGAAGATTCCGGAAAACATGGACTACACAGTTTAGCCAATCACAACACACCGGCCCAAACTAACCAATCTGAGCCCATTGCCTGTTTCTGAGGGAGTGGTTTCATAGAATCAGGATGTAAACTGGTCGTTCAAATGATGCATCTTACAATAAAGGTGAAATTTATGAAAAATAAGACTTAAAAAAAAAAAGAAAAACCACGAATACATGTTACATTGCACCCCATAAACCCAATCATGCGAAGAAAAAAAGCAGTAAACCACCCCTTTAAGAGCATATAAAACAAAACAGCTCCTTGGACAAAATGAAATAATAATGTGATATTGTAGTAGTTATAAACAAAGGTTTATTTTAGTTCAGATTAACATTTGAGGGCAGCAATTGTATTCATAATGTAAAAAATAAATAAAACGTAATGTTACTTGAAAGCATTATAGCCTACTATTCCTGCCAAACTTCCATGGTTACAGTAGTGTTACTACAGTATGGTGAATGTTGCTAATCTGTGGACACTGGATAGTTCATTCATGGCACAATATTTCTTCCTGCTTTCCACGCCAGCGCTGTTTGATCCGTTAATAATGGAGAAATGTGAATGGTTATTAATAGATCTCACAGTGATGTTATTACTTCAGTAGTGAATTCAAATGCTTTCTTTACTTGATCTCGCTGTGTAGTAACAGTGCGGCTTGATAAAGATCGGCTCACGCTGCATTGGTCCAAATTGATAAACAATCCTTCAAACACATAATAACAAGTAACTCAATTTAGTTTCGCTTGCATTACATTTGCTATTTGATGTTGGGCAATGTTGTGGTTGCGCCAACATCTCAAGCGTACTTGCAACATGAAGTAACAAAATTTTGAAAATGCCTCGAAAGCCTTGGTTCAATACGAATACGTGTATTGTTACACCCCTAGAGTTAATCCTCAATTTTAGAATTTTTAGAAATTCATATTGAGAGTCTGCAAGTCCCCAACTCACTTGACTGGTACCAGAGCCAGTGATGTGTCTCGAGACTGTCTTGAGAAATCTTTTACGTGGTCTCGGTCTTGTCACTTCATTGACGGTCTTTGGTCTCAGTCTTGTCTAGGTCTCGCTATCTCAGACCGGCATAGTGGTGCGAATTGCGCCAATGGTACTGTACATTTTGTGCATTCACACTTTTGATGCGAATATGAGTCTGCCACCTGAGTTGAAAATATTTTACTTTGGCATCAATTCGTGCCATGTTAACCAATCAGGAGCCTGCTTGGTGTTGTCACGTGGTGAAGTGATGTGATAAACAGGGACAGGCTCGCTTTTCATTTTATAATATTATTTCATATGTTTGGCCTCAATAAATGATTTACAATATGTAATATGTATGTTTATTACATTGTTTATTACATAATGATTTGTAATATACTAAACACAATACGTAGTGATGTTACGTCTGACATTGACGCTCCGAGTCCGAAGCTTGCTTCAAACTCGAACGGTCAGTGCAATGAACCACTATTTCTGAATAAAAACCATACCATTTAATGAACACTTTGTCTAAGCCTTCTGCATGATGTACCCAAAGCACACCCTCTGCCAAATGTTTATTATTATTATTAATTAGAGAACATATGAACATTGTTACATAAAAACATGCATCAAAGACAGAAACTTCAAAAACCCTCTGCTACATTATACAAGTACAACCAGTTACACAAGCACATCCTTTTCAACATACAAAAATATCAGTCACACCAGTTAACAAGTTAAAGAGTTCTTCTTCTCACAGCTACAAGATAAAGCTTTCACACATGATTCTGCCCTGCTAAAAAACAAAAATATAAATCCTAATGGAATATGTCCCTCCCAAACACACTACAAAAAATAATTCTGTAGTCGTTTAAATGGTAAAAGCCAATGGTTCCTATTGGTATTTTAATACAAACCAATTTCTGTGATGGTTTACAACTTTTTTTAAGCTGGTCTGATCTTCTGTCCTTGTCTAAAGAAATAATTACACACATACATCATGCTTAAAGCTAGGGTATACGATTTCAAAGATTGTTCATTATTAATATCCTCGTTTAGATGCTGGTTATGGTTATATAGTACAATCCTAACAATATAAATAGAAAAAAGAACGAAAAAAATCCATTCACTCTATTGGCTGTACAGCCACATAAAAGTTGACCAATGGAAGCTTTGCGAGCGCAAAGCTACATTGGTCAACTGCTCTCATCCAATCACCAGC